ATCAGATAGATTTATTATTTTATTACTTTGTTGTTTCAGCAACATTAAATTTAAAAACTGTACTTTTGAGTTAAAATATATATTTATAATTTTAATAAATGACAAATCAAAAAGGCATGAACATTTTTTTTTGTATCGAAAAAAATATTGAACCGTGACACCAAAGTATCAAACCGAACCGTGAATTTTGTGTATCGTTGCACCCCTACTTGTTAGCTAACATCGGCTAATGCAGTGGCTCCCAAACTTTTTTTGCTAGGCTCCTATTTGTTATACCCCCCCCTCCCCTGATTAAGGAACTGACCTCCCAGCGCATTGTTCCTTCAGTGGGCTGGTTTCAATCATTATGCAAATGTACTGTTTATAAGATTGGGGAAACCTGCAGTCAGCTGAGACTGAAGAAGCCACAAAACGCTATGTCCAGATGAACAGAATCAACTTTTTGGAGACAGCCCAGCATGTGCTCCCGACGCAGAGTTTCTGTTGGGAAGTGTTCTGACAAAACACTCTACCTAACAAGCTGTCCTACTTGTTGTTACTGCACATGCACACAACTTAAAACAGCCAAGTTTTAATGTTGTTAATGGTGTTAATAGTACACGCCTATTACTTGATCCTACCCCGATCTTGTGCGTGCGAAAAAGGGTTAGTATTATATGTTTTGCTTCTTTATTACAGTTTATACTTGTTTTCCTTAAGCTGTTTTCAATTTAGTAACTTTTCAAGCTAACATGCGTTTTGTTTTTTGTGCAAAAATACTCCAATTTGCAGTCTCAATTGAAGTCATATTTCAAATCTTGATTTAGTACTTCTAAAATCTGTAAACTGGCATACAGCGTAAACCTTGTCAATTAATGTTAGTCCTCCTGCCTAAATAAACACAAGCAGGAAGCACGTTTTGACAGTGTGATTTGGCCATCAGAACGTCCTACCTATAGGTATGTACGATAGTACATCGTACATACCTATAGGTACCTATACCTATAGGTATAGGTACCTATAGGTAGGAAACCATGTAAGATAGTATATTCTGATAAGGTAGCACAGATTGATAAACATGACTATTAATTTACGCTATGGTAGGATGTTTTGACAAAGTAGGACGTTTTGTCAGAATCCATCCATCCTACCTGACAAACCATCCTACCCGTTGTTTCTATGCATGCGCACAACATGAAATTAAGTGGCGAACCGTCCTACCTTTGTGAATTTAAGCTACAAGCATACTTCAACAGCTAAAATTAAGTGGTGAACAATCCTATCTTTGTGAATATGAGATAGAAGCTTAATTTTACAGCTACAATTCAGTGGCAAATCATCTTACCTTTGTTAATGAGACCTAGAAACAAACTCTGACGTGCCAAACCATGCTACCTTTGTGAATGTGACCTACAAACATACTTTAACGGGTAAAATGAAGTGGCAAACCGTCCTGGCTTTATGATTGTGAGCTACAAGTATACTCTGATGGGCACAGTTAAGTGGCAAACAGTCATACCTACTTAAATTGGTGCTGGAATTACTCTGTGACAGCAGAAATGTGCATAAACTACTTACGGTAGGACGTTTTGTCAGAACACCTGATGCGCTTAGCTTCCCTTTTTGTGTTGTGCGCATGCACGCACATACTCAGAAACAACGGGTAGGACGGTTTACGGGGTAGGCTAGCTAAATTCCCAGAACACCGGCAAAATGTGAACTGTATGAGTGAGGAAATAAAAGATATTCTCCGACACCAGACATATGGAATCATGCTACGCTACTAAAAATAAATGAATAAAACTTAGAACAGTTAATTAAACTAAAACCGTCGTTTGAAATGTTTCACGGTCAGACAGTTACTTTCGATTTTAAACAACCTCGTGAATGTTTGTAAAAACTAACAAAAAAACCCCGCAAACTCACCGCATTTCCCCCTCAGCCCTGTCCCCAAAAGGACAAGAACTGCGATAATCAGCATTTCAATCTCAGTAACACCATTTTCTCGGTAATAAACTCAACATTATTGATCTGTTAGACCGAGTTTTCCTCTCCCCGTCTACCCGCCTCTTTCTGCTTCCTGCTTTCATCTGCTGATGGCGCATTCAGGGACCGCACATAAACGAGAGATATTTAATGCAGGTCCACAAGTCACCGTCTTTTTTCATTTACACAACTAAAACAACAAAACTACAACCAGTGGCGTGTCCAGCGGGCCACCCCCCAACCAGACTGGCCACCCCGAAGCTAAAACAATAAAATTCAATCAAATGTACGATTATGTTTTCACAGTGAAGCTAAGATATCCGAGTGTAAGTGAATGCAGCGTCGGCTTCAAGACGGTGTTGTGCCAAAGTAGTAGTTGACCCTCCGTCAAAAATTGTTTCCCCATTCACGGGAGCGCGCAAAGTAGGAGGAGCCACGTGCCCAGCTCCGTTCTGTACGCTACTTGTCACTGATCTGCAGTCGACGCAATAAAGAGTAAAAGTTGGAAAACAGCAGACTCGATGAATTTAATATTAGTTTCGTGACATTGTAATGTGCCGTGTGGAAGACAATTTACCTTAAACTGTACACTGAAATAACCTGCTGGGAATACTTTGTCTAGAAAAAGACTTTGATACTATAATACTGTAAAAACCAGACGCGATCATGGAAACACGTCGCTCTCCAGTGAATTTACTCTCGGTTTACACTTTGTAGCGAAGCTATCACCAATGAGTTTATTTGGAAAATCAATCACAGTATAACCAATAAGTACAGTAACTTTGGAGACGATTTCTTCTTCACAGCAAAAGTTATGGAGGGGTACAAAATTTATCAGGCTGTGTGGCATCGGCTGCCAAAATGTGTGCCCCCCCCCAATCTATAATGATGCACATTGGCAGAGGTTTTCTTTGTAAATAAATAAAATTTAAAACAACATTTAAATATATATATTTATCGTCTTTGTAAGTAACAGGGCTTTTCAAAATTTTGCAAGTTAGTTTTGGCCAACCTTTCGTAGGCCTACTCGACTCCGACATATAGATGCTGATAGTGGCGTGCCTTCTGATTTGTACCAGTTTATCTTATAACCTGACAACCTTAAAAATGACTCTACGCATGTGAGCAGCGCTGGTAAAAATTAAGTGTTATCCATTAATACTGCTAAGATGTTGTCAGCATATAAATAACTTGCTCCCTGCCGCCTGCGTGAACACCTCTGATAGCCATGTTAGCTCGATTAGCTAAGATCAGTGGTTCCAGAAATATCGTGAAGAAGAGCGGGGACGAAGAACACCCCATGCGGGTCCCACGACTGAGATGGAAAAACTCTGACACCAATCTATTTGTCAAAACTGCTCAGGAGGACATTTTGTCAATAATCAGGTTCTCTGGCAGCAGGTCAGTCACATGACTGAACAATGAGTATGTGTTAGTCCCTGTAGGGAAATGACTCCTCTGCATTTAACCCATTCACCCAGTGAAGCAGTGGGCAGCCACCAATGCAGCGCCGGGGAGCAGCGTGTAGGGACGGTACCTTGCTCAACCTCAGGGCCCTTCAGTGGAGTTGAACCACCAACCCTCCGATCACGGGGCAGCTACTCTACCTACTGGGCTATCTCTGAACAACTGGGTATAAAAAGAGGCGGAGTTTCTCAGGAATTAAAGATGGACACAAAAATATCAGAATTATGTTCGTCAGTGTTAAATTATCTACAGGAAATAATCCAAACGTGATCATCATCGTTTTATTTTGAAATGAATAGTGTTGCTGTAACTGCTTCCACCTTCATGCTGTACGGTGGTACAATCACTCACTTTGGTCACTGGAGGACTTTAAAACGGCTTCAAACGAAATAATTATAAAAACTGTCATTGTTTGGATGCAGGAAGAAAAAGACTGAAGACAAATGAAAGGATCCATCAGCAGCACCTGACGCTCGTCGCTCCAACATCGATAAAAACACTCAACTCATGATTCACACATTAAGTTCAGTTTATTATAAGAACAACACAAAAATACTTTTACTTTCTGATCCTTCACATTACGACTGAAACACTTTTTAAACAGAAGCTGTAAATATTTCTGACAAATATGACTGTCGTTCACTATAATGACGAGGTTTCAGGATTGTGGGAGAGTTACACTGAAGGTCCTGCAGCTGATGTGTTGCTGATGTATAAAAACTGATTCCTGTGTTTCTTGACTTTTCGGAGCTTGTTGTCAAACACTGAGTGGATTTTTCTCTACAATCTTCTCATCTTTCATGAATCATTTCCTTCCAGCGGCTCTGAATCAAACTGCTGCTCTGAGGTTTCCAGGCTTTACTTTCTGAGCTCTTTCAAAGAATCCAGTTTATATGAAACTGCAGCAGCTTTGAAAGTTGGATTCACTTTTTTATTCTCACTGCTGCACAAACCTGATTTGACATGTTTGAGTAAAAACTCCAAGTTTAAACTGTAAAATGCAGCAAACGTGAGCCTCCTCTTAGTCTGCATGTTGGGACATGTGGTAAATACACTTGTTTTGGTAAATGTGGCTTCAGGGAGCCTTCAGGCGCTCTGACGGACGTTCTTGCAGACGTCAGAACATCAGCTGGACGGGCTCCAGCAGCAGTCTGCCTGAACCCGGGCTGTCGGAGTCATCGGCTGCAGGGATGAACAGTGTTAGAGTATCACAGAGGAGCACGTGCTCTGGCCTCTTCTTCTGCTTTGACTTTTGCAAACCTGCATTGACTGTGTGTTTGCTGTGAGCATGACTCAGCAGGAGGAGGCAGTCACATGACAAACAGCTGTATGAATGAGATCTGCTCAGTGCAAACTGCTTACTCATGATTTCTGTTCTTTATAAAGAGCTGAAATATTGACTCAGAAGATATAAGTGTGACGCACAGACAGCAACACCTCACAGTAATCAGATTACTAGATGAAGGTTAGTGATTACATTTCCTCCACACACTGATTTCCTTAATAAACGATACTTACAGGAGACACCTGAGTCAGAGGCGGAGTCAGAGGCGGAGTCAGGGGCGGAGTCAGGGGCGGAGTCAGGGGCGGAGTCAGAGGAGCTTTGAGAGTCTGAAGGAAAGAAATTAATTCAGGTAAACTTGTGAGTTGAATATGTAAAAATAACAATATCATGATAAAAAATAATTAACATGACTTTCATATTTACGCATCACTGCACAGTTGAAAACACACAAACTTGAAAAACTAAATAAATAAATTGCTGCACAACCAGTAAATTTTTAAGCTAATGTTCAGGAAAAGTATTTCCTGTTTAGAGTTCAGGTTGGAATTTTCCAGAGAAAATCTAAAGGAGCCGGCAGAGACCCTGTAGCAGACTGATGGATGATCCACAGTAGACGTGCACACAGGAAACTCTCCACACTGTGGACCTAACTCTGGATTCACCCACTCAAATTCAGTTCAGTAACTGACTCTGAGTTCAAACATTGGCCTGAACAGAAAAGTGATTGTGGTCAGAAAACTAAAGCTGCAGGGATCTGCTGCTCTCCAACACAACGTTAAACAAAGAGGAAAACTGTGACAAATCAAAAAAACAAAAATAAAATAAAGTGTCTCACCCCAAACTCTGGTAACGCTCACAGCAGATGCTGCATGAACGACTTCACAGCTGAACGCAGACAGGTCAGACCTTAAAACCTCCACATGGTCTCTCCTCTGGAAGGTGTGGTCTTCATTGGGAAGAACTCCTGAGCTCATCAGGCCGTCGTCTGCGGTCAGGACACTCTCATTCTTTTTCAT